ATATTTCTGCTTTTATTTTTAATTGTGTCAGTTTTGGTCCTCCGTATATAAAAACTAAAGTTGTCCTGTTTTAGGTCAGAATTCCTCAAACTGTTTATGTTTTGTTCAGAACCCAAATAAAAACAGTGAAAAGTGTTAAATATGTTTTTTTTTTCAGTTACTAGTTTTCATCCAGTTTCTTACAGGTTAGTGTTGATTTTAAACCGTCTAATGTGGGTCAAACAGTTTGTTGTTTCTTCTGACCAGTCTGTTCCTGAAAGCTTTAACTTCCTGTCTAACATCTTGAAATGTTCCTTCACAATGATCTCTCCCTGTGACACCATCGACGATGTAACAGCCCCACAGCATGATGCTGCCTCCTCCGTGCCTCACAGCTGAGAGCCTGTTAGTTTTCTCCTCTTATCTCTAAATGTAACGATGGTCGCTGTGACCAAAGAGTTTTACTGTCATCAGACCAGGACTGTTCTATTGAACTAAAACTAATGAAATAACAAAAACTGAAACTGAAATAAACATTTCAGTTAACTGAAAATAAATAAAAACTGTGATAAAATGGAAAAAAAAAACAATAACCGGAGCTGTTTTTACAAATGACCAAACGTCACATGTTTACCAGCAAAATGACGACATTAAAAGTCTGATTTGGGATTTCTTTGAATGTGACAGAGAGAAAAGTCACAGCAGGTGTTTTGTAGTGGAAACAGGTGACAAAACAGGTGGAATGTTTCAGGAAACACCAAACAAATGAAGCTAGCAGCAGGCGGCTAACTGTGAGCATGTTGACAAGCTAGCTCCTCTCAGTTTAAAAAAACCAAGTTACGTAGTTATTTTAGGAAGGTGTTGCTATAATGACTGTTTTCACCTGCGACCAAAAAGCTTCTTAGTGAACTCAGGAACAAGCAGGAGGAAAATTATAAAAATAAACTAATAAAAACTAAACTAAGCCTTAAAAAAAGCAATAAATAATAAAAACCAGCAAATCCGCTCTGAAAACTAATTAAAACTGACTTAGAAGAAAAAGTCAAAACAAAATAAAACCAAACAATAAAGAAAAAATGTAAAACTATTAGAACCTCAGTCAGACCAAAGAACGTCTGAATGTTTCTTTACAAACTGAAACGATGAAAACAGCTCTTCTTCCTCCAAGAAGATTTTCTGATTCGTCAAACTGATTGGGCCTCATGCAAGAACATGTTCGTATTCTTATCCTAAATTTCTCTTACTTTTGTTCGTA